GAGAGAGAGAGAGAAACAGCATGAGAGGGGAGAGGGTCAGAGGGAGAAGCACGCTCCCCGCCGAGCCAGGAGCCCGATGTGGGACTCGATCCCAGGACTCCGGGATCATGACCTGAGCTGAAGTCAGTCACTCAACCAACTGAGCCACCCAGGGGCCCCCCCCCCCGATTCTTTTGTCACCGTCCTAGGGTGTTGTCTGAAGGACTGCTGGGTCCTTAGATCACTGCCTCCTGGAGTATGGGGCCCTGCCCTTAGGGTGCTCTGTGTGTGCCTCCCTCAGCAAGGGTTTGGTACTTGGGGGAGATTGAGGCAAAAGGTGGAGCCAGTCCTCTGGGAGGGGGTGAGTAATAGATAATAGTTCCTAGGGCCTCTTAGGGACAAGTGGGTCAGAAGCCCTGTAGGGCTCATTCTACCTTCTGCCACTTTCTGACAAGGAGCGGAAGCTGTGTGCCCACCCTCGGCTGGAGATCTACCAGCAAGACCAGATCTATTTCATGTGCCCACTGGCACGGCAGGGAGATTTCTATGTGCCTGAGGTGAAGGAGACAGAGCGGAAAAGCCGGGGGCCTGCGGAGGCCAGTGACACCCAGATGGATGGCACAGGTATGGAGGGTTGGGCCCTGTGTGGAGCCTATCCCTGGACATTGGGGGGCATGGTGGAGGAGGCTCCTCTCTGGCTGGGCTGGCACTGTGGGTATCCAGGCTAAGATCGGCAGAGGTGGAGGAAGGAGACCTGCCTACCCCAGGACCCACATGAGAATTGCGTTTCTAGATACGTGGATCCATGCAGATTGGGTTCACATATGTTAGCACTGGCAAGGATACAAAGACACAGATGCAAAGACCCTGCCTGAATTCCCTCCAGATGCAATGGGAAGTACCCTTGGAAACAGATGCTCATGGGAGGGGGGGATGGGGCTGTTCAAGAAAGGCATCACTTGGGTGGGGCTCAACAGGAAATAAGATTGGCACTGGATCTGGAAGGTAAAGAGGAGAACAGGGTGTTCCCAGGACGGAGCCCTACCCAGAGACAGCTGCTTTCTCCCTGCTGAAGAACAACCAGAGAGCATGCAGGGGGGGCCAGGAGATCAGTGCCCTGCCCCTTCCACCTCAGCCAGCCTTCATCCTCCAGGTCCAGGCCAGCTGGTAATTTGCCTGCTCTTAACCCACCTCCCTGCCGTCACTTCTTGTGACCCTGGGCTCTCCCCAGGAGCAAGGGGGCCTGCTGGTAACATCCCAGGGGGCCCAGCCCTAGTCCCTGCTGCTGGAGCCTTGTGTGACAGTGGCGGTCTGTGACCTGTGGGAGTGGTCCACTCCCCCCAGTGGACAGCTGGGAGGAGAGTAGCTGTCCCTCCTTCTTTGGGAGACTTCCTCTGTCCAACCAATCTCCAATAGCCAAGGTCACCCTAGAGAGGCGTATGTTGTGGGGGGTGGGGGTACTGAGAGGCAGTCTCTATTCCCTAGAGGCCGTGTCCAACACAGTTAACTTCATCTGCTGTTTAATTACCTCCATGGGGCACTGTTCCCACCCGCCTGGTAATGCCCGGCAGACATTCCTACTGTGAGCACAAGACATGGCACAAGGTCAGCAAGCCCAGGCAGTCTCCAGGGCAGGAAGGGAGAGTGTCTTGACCTTCCTTCGACCTCCCTCTGTGGCCTACACTCCAGTCCTTGGCCCACCCACCCAGCTTCTCTCCCAAACACCGCCTGCCAGGGGTGTTGAAGGACTGCTTGGCACCCGCTACGGCTGGCTTCAGCGGCTGTCCCATGCCCCCAGCGCCTTGGCCTGTGTTCCCCACTAACCTGCCCGCCCACTCCCTGGGGGGCGGTGGGGGGTTAGGGGTCTGCCCACCTTTGACAGGGTCTGCCCTGACACCCAGGAAGGACTCTGAGTGTGCCTGCCAGGTGCATGCCATTTGCACGGCAGTGTGTGCTGGGCGCCTGGCTGCCCAGGGCTTGGCCTGCCCCTGACTGCCTCCCCACTGGGTCCCCCACTTGGGCTAAGAGGTGGAAGGGGGTGATTAGCTGCCTTATGCCTGTTATTACATTGATGTATTATTTAGCTCCAGAGAGGCAATGAATATTTGATCTTGCACTGGCTGTGGGCAGTGGAGGAGGGAGAGATTGGGGTGAAGGTGGCAGCTTCATTCTCTGCCCCAGCAGCCCTGGAGACTTAGGTGCTGCCCTTCCTTGCCTGGCCTTTTCTGCCCTGGGACACATGCCCAAGACTCTGGAACTTCCTCTGGTGCAGACCTTGGTGGGGCTGGAGGGATGCCATTTCCCTGCCTTGGACTTATTTGCCAGAAGTGTCCACATGTCCCCACAGGGGCTGGCCTCATATTAGCATACTGGGTGGCAGCCTGAAGGGGCATCCCTGGGCTCCATCCTCTGATTATTCCTAGCCTAGGAGCTGGGAGAGGAAGGAGTCAGCCTCCTGGCAAGCAGACAGGTTCCCATACCCAGGTCCCAAGAGAGCCACTGGGTGACCAAGAGAGGTGGGCTGGTGGAACATGACAGTTTAATGGGGCCTAGGAGCCCCATTTCATTTGTTCCTTTCAGGCCTGCAGCCCCTGGGGCACTGATTATCCCCATTTAAGGAGTGAATAAGGGGCTGGAGTCCTGCCCCAGAGTCAGAAGGAACCACCCATAACTCAGGGTAAAGCTCAGGCTCACTCTTGGCTGCCTCTATTCTGGGAGCCATGACTGGGTCCCCAGCAAGAAGAGGACCCTGGGCCAGTAGGCTGGCACTTCCAGAGCCCACCTCACCTCTGCCAGTAGACCCAAGGGGCATCTTCTCGGGGCTGAGGGAACTGGAGGAGCAGATCCCAAATGCCCCCCACACTTATTTTAGTCCCCATCTGAGGTGCAGTGAAAGTTCCAGGCCAAGTCCAAATGCCAAGCAGTCCCCAGCTGCTCCTGGCTTGGGGCTACGTCACCATGGAGACAGGATCTGGGCAAATTGGCCCATCCCTCACCTCTGATGTTTGACAGCTGCCCCTCTCCCTCTCACACAGAAGGGAGGCATATCAGCCTTCTCTCAATCTGGATTCCTACACAGTGGGCCTGAGCTCTTTGTCCCTTCCTGTTCCCCCTCCCACCCCCCGCCAGCTGTTGTCACTGCCTCTGATCTGGGGAGGTGAATTGAGGGGTTGCTCCTGGACAGGGCAAATGAAGTGTCTACTTGCCTGGAGGACGTGTTAGGGTGGAAGGAACAGACTGGGAGGGATCTGGACCCTCAGCCCTGTCTCAGGGCTTTCCAGCTGCCAGCAGAGTGCTCTCATGGTCCCCTTCTGCTGCTTTGTGGCTCAGGAACCACCAGTAATGGTTGGGGATAATTAAGGGCTCCTCTGGGGTGACCCAGGCATAGGGGAAGAAAGCCCTTAAAATGCTTTATCCTAGTACCCTCCTTCCTTGCAGCTGGTTTCTCCGGACTTCTCCATCCCACTTCTCCCTGCCCTAGCTGCCTCCTCAAATCAGGGCTCAACGGGGGCCAGAGGCTGAGGCCAGCTGCCTTCCTGGATATGGCTGTTCCTTGGAGAGCCCCACATGGGGGAGGGGACAAGAGAGTAGGCCTTCTGGTCCATTCTCCTGTCCTCATGCCTTATGGGCACTGTCTGTAGCTGGCCTTGGACAAACCTCTCTCCAAGCCTGAAATGAGGTGTGGAGGAGGGGACATTACTTGAATCTCTTTGTTCTACCCTCAGCTCCTCACCTCAGGGCTGAGTGGTCCTTAATGGACTGTTGGGGGGTGGGGAGCAGCAGGCTTTGTGGGAGCACAGGGAGTTGTGAGGCTAACTCAGGGGGAGGGAGAGGAGTGCACAGGCTGCCCTCCCTCCCTCTCTCTGTGCATGCAGCTCTGGTCAGGGCAGAAGGCAGCTAGAATGAGCCTCCTGAGCTAGGGCCCACTTTATTATTCACGAGCACACTGTGCATGCTGGTTCCTGAGCAAGTGGTAGGGTGTCTGTCCTCTCCCTGGAAGAGGGGATGGGGGTCCTAGTTAACGTGTGTTCCCTCTTCCTGGCCCAGGAGCTGATACGATGAGTGACACAAGTTCTGTGAGCCTGGAGGTGGGTCCTGGCAGCCGGGAGACTTCAGCTACCACACTGTCCCCTGGGGTGAGCAGCCGTGGCTGGGACGACGGTGACACCCGCAGTGAGCACAGCTATAGCGAGTCAGGCGCCAGTGGCTCTTCCTTTGAGGAGCTGGACCTGGAAGGCGAGGGACCCCTGGGGGAGCCAAGGCTGAGCCTTGAGGCTGAGCCCCTTGGGGCTTCCAAGTGGCCCCGGGAACCTAGTACTCCTGAGAAGGGTGAGGAGTAGCCCTAGGCCTGCACCCTCCTGGGGTGCATTTGCTAAGGAACTGAGAACTCCAGTCCTCTTCCTCCTTCACCTCTCAGGCCCAGGCTGGGACCAGGGGTCTCGGGGGGACCTGATTTCCACTGCCCCGGGCCCTAGCTAAGCCTTCTTACTGGCCTCTCGGCTCCCAGGGCCAAAGGAGCCAGGGACTGTATTCTGCACCCAGACCCCGGGGCTACCGCCCCTCTGACATGTTTTTTCAGAGTCACATTGGAGCTTCCAGGACTCAGAATAAAGCAAAAGATTTTCTCGTTTCACCTGGATTTGGGCTGTGCATTTGTGTGTGTATTTCACCTCAAGGAGCCCTGTGCAGATAGGCTGGGACTGGGCAGGAGTAACCCCAGCCTGAGGGGAGGAGGAAATATGGCAAGGTACTCTGGAGTGAGAGGAGGAAAGCGGTATTGAAGGCCCTCCACTCCCGGCTTTGTGGCCCCAGGTGATGCCTGCTCGTCCATTGCAGCAGCCCCAGAGGCTCCCCCAGGCTGCTGGGCAACAGGCAGAGCAGGTCAAGGGGAGAGCGAGCCCAGCATGGGGTGCCCTTCAGGGCTCAGGAGTGGGGAGCTCACAGCCTGCCTTTGCTTCCAAGGGATGCCTTTGTGTCTGTGGTTTGAGTGTGGCTGGGCTTATGCTGGTATCTGCTCAGCAGGTGAGGCTGTCCCTACTTGCCTGCCAGTGTCTGTGTACCTGTGTGTGTACATGCACACATGCGTTTGGTTCTGTGTGTAACCATGGATGCGTCTGCTCGTGGTGGCAAGCTGGGCCCAAGCAGGCAATAGGATATGGTTGGGGCTGGGTACGGCTGTATTTGTGCAGATGGCTACGTGGTTATGTGCACGTGATGCTGTTAACTGTATGTGGCGGTACTAATAGGGGTGTGAGACTGGCTAGCTAGGAGCATCACTCTGGGGGCTTTGTCCATATACAGCTGTCTGTGTGTAGCTATGTGTCTGTGTACAGCTGTATTGTGTATTCATGTGTAAAGCTGTGTACTTTTCTGTGTGTCCAGATGTAAAGCTATAGGTCAGTTCAGCTGTGTCTGTGAGTTTAGCTGTGTGTAGACACGTATGGCTCTATGTATGTGACTTTGTGTCGATGAATACAGTTGTGTGTCTGCATGCAAAGCTATGTGTTACTGCTGCATCTGTGTGTACAGCTGTGTGTGAGGTTGCACGGACATCTCTGTGTGTGGCCATGTCCATATGTGCAGCTCTGTAGTGCTGGGTGGCTGTCTTTGTGTGCACAACTGGGAGTGGTGGCCGCATAGCTGGGTGCCTAACTGCAGTTCCGCGCGCTGCAACAGGACTGTGTAGCCCACTTGCTGTGGGCCGCGTAATGGGCCTCTGGGACTGGTGCTGTGTTAAAGCCCTAGGTGTTTTGTGAGGCTACCTTAGTGAGTGGGCCGGGATTGCTATGCGGCTCCTCTTACCTCAGCACCCTGCTGCTATCAACCCTTCTGCTCCAAGGGCCCAGCTCATCACTCACCTGCCCCAGGCAGCAGTTGCTTTGAACTAGCCAGAGCTGGAAGACAGTGTATCTGTCTCTCCAGCCTTGTCTGACAACTCTGAACCCTCATCCTGCTGTCATCTCACCTCCCATTAGCAGTGGAGTTTGGGTTTGTTTGGGTTTGATGTGTTTGTCTGTTTCACAGCTGTGCTTTTCCCAGCACAGTGGGGCATTGGGTTTCTGTGTCCAGAGAAAAAGCCTGTCCTTCCTTGGCGACACCCCTCCCCCTTAACTGCGACACGCACATGTAGGTGTATGTGCCAGAGGGACCTGGGCTTGGCATGTGCTCATTAGCATGTGTCTGAGCTAGCTTTGTACTGACACCTGTGGAAGAAAGGGCAGTGCCGGGGGAGCATGTGTAGGGATGCTGTGTGCCTTAGCACCTGGTGTGTGTGCAGGCTCTGAGGCTAAACCTGGGTGCGAGCCCCCTCTCCAAACCCTTCAGCACATTTGGGTGCTGCAGTTTATCCACCACCTTCTACCCAGGGGCATCCTCCATTCTGCTGCAGGAGGGAAGAAGAGTCAAGAGCGTCTTCTCAGAGCTGTCCTCCCTCTGCTTGGGCTCCAGCTCCCATTTCCTCCTACGCAGCAGCCAGTTTCAGGAGCCTCTTCTTCACCCCCCCTGCCAGCCCCAGCATGTGCCTTAGGGTTGACCCTAGTCCCTGGCCCTGCAGCACCCCCCCACACATACACCCCAGGTTGATATCTCTTTGCCATAAATGCCCTTTGTACGTGAGGGTGGGGATTAGTGAGGTTGGTGGAGGAGGAGGTCAGGGCTGTGTGTGTGTGTGGGGTGGGGGGAGGTGGGTAGCAGCTTTAAAGGTCGTCTGCAGGAAGAGGAGGCCCCGTCCTCCTCTGACCACCCACCCCCCATCTCTTCCTCCTAGTGACTCAGGCCCTAGCTCTCACATGGGGCCAAAGATACGTGCCCCTACCCCAAGCCTGGCATGTGGACTGAGCTGCAGTCTGTGGATTAAGAGAATGGATGTGAGGATGGGGACAGACTTGTCCCAGCAGGCTAAGCTCTCTACCTATTTCCCACGTGCCCCCTTACCTATCTCCAAATGGCACCTTGCAACCCTCAAGCTAGCCCCTCCGCTCTCAAAGATGGGACCCCATAACACTGTGCGCACCTCCTGGGGCTCAGTGACCTTCCTGGCCCCGTGTCCTGTGCCCGCTGCTCTGTGGGCTGCAATCTGACCACGGGGTGGAGGGGGACGATAGGCACCTGCTCCTGCGCAGAGCGGGAGCGCCCGAGGATTCAGCACCAGGCGGTGGACAGCTCCGGGACAGAAGCCCCGCGAAGAACCCGAGCCAGAGGCGCAGGGCGAGGAGCTGTGTGCAGGAGTCTGGAGGGAGGCGGAGGCCGGTTGGGAGCGGGAGATCCGGAGTGGGGAGGAGGGGCTGGGGGCGGGCCAGGGCCAGGGGCGGGGCGGGCTGCGATTGAAAGCGGCCGGGCGAGCGGGCGGGCGGAGAGCGCAGAGCTGCTGAGCAAGGGAGCAAGCCTGCGAGCGAGAGCTGGAACCCTGCGCCCCGGCTCCTCTCCGTTTCTCTCCGCGCCGGAGTCGGGCACGCCAGGTAGGGTAAGCCCGTGGTGCCGCGGCCTCCGCCGACCTTATCAATCCTGACCCCATGTCCCGGAGACCCGCGGGCCCTCGAGTTCTGGGGCTCCCGGCCGAGGCGTCCAGACAGTGCTCGCCAGGAGATCCGGGAAGCGGGAAGACAGCCCCAGTCATCCCGCCTTTCTTCCCCAGAGAACGCACACCCTGCATCACGCTCCTTCGTTCTTCCTCTCCTTCCATCCTTTGGTCTGTCTTTCTGTCTGTGCCTCTTTGTGTCAGCCTCTTGGGCTCAATCACTCCGTGCCCAGATTTCGTGGCCCAGGCCCCCTGGCTGCCCCCCTCTGGGGTTCTGTCTCCCTTCAGGGTATTGTCCCTGTCTGGATTTTGGTCCTGGCTGCCCCTGTGGGAGGCTTGTGGTCTTGACCAGTTTGGGCCTCAGCCCCCATCTGGGTCCCTTCACCATCTGTCCTGGTCTTCATGCTTGCCTCTCTCTCCTGGTTGCCTGGTTGAGCTGCTTCTTTCCGAGTACCCACAGGATCCCAGTCCCCCTGCCCTGGCACCAAGGAGAGATTAACCCTGAGGAGTTGAGGGACAAAGTGAAGAATCCCAGTCTCTCTGACCAGGACATGGGGTCCTTGAACTAGTTGCTGTCCTTCTTCAGCCTCAGTTTCCTTCTCCTAGCATTCCCAAGCCTGTATGAATGTGAGAGCCTTGTGGGGTGGGCATCTGGGAGGGTAGCTGGGGTACAAATGAAGTGCAGAGTGGAAGAGGGAAGGAGGAGTCCCCGAGGGCCAGGGCCAGGGCGGACAGGATGGGGAGAGGATGAGGATAGGGAGATTAGAGATGATGACTTTCTCTGCTTGGATCTGAGCTGAAGAAAAAACAGGGCATAAAGTCTCAAACAGCATTCTATGCAGAGCTAAGGTGTCCAAAAGTCTCACCTTGAGCACTCTTTTGAGATTCTGACCAGATGAACTGCCCCTGACCCTGGACACATGTATGCTCGCATCTACTTTCCCTATTGATTTAAGACCTGTGGTCACTTCAGTGTCCCTCCCTGGGGCCAACCTCTCCACCTTGCTGTCAAACTCCCAGGGCCTAGAGTCTCTATTACTTCCTCAGTCAGGGGGCTCTGGGATGGATTTTTAAGAACTAGGGGCTAGGACCCTTGGGTGCTCACCTGGGCTCCAGTCTCTCTAGATGTTGGAAACTACCCTTTGGAGGCCTTTCCTTCCCTCTTCCCTGGTGGGTTTCAGTCACAATTGCCCATCTCTGGAAATGCAAGGCTCAGGATAGGGACTAGACCCCCAAGTTTATACTCTAACCTGGCCTGTGCTGTAAAGGCATAGACTTTGGGGTCCTAGGAAGTTAGTGCAAGGTCTTGTACACTCTTTGATTTATAGCAGGATTGGTGTTGGCTGGGGTCTCCTGACTTCTCTCTGCCTCCCTCCCTCTCTGCTGAGTATTCAATGGGCACAGAGCCCATCTACAGACCCAGATCAGGGCAAAACTGAGAAACAGGCCAAGGGATGTCCGGGAGCTTCTCAGCCTAGTTTGTGATACTACCTCTCCCTGGCTCCCTAGAAAAGTCCCGAGGGAAGGGAATTGGGGAAGGCAGAGTCAGAGGAGTAGCCACTCTTGGGTTCCACTTCTCCCTGTTTGTCTGTCTGTCTCTTTCTCTGCAGGAGCTGGGCCCCTTCTTATCTTTCTTCCTGCCTGTCCTTTTCTGGTCCCTGTTTCCTCCTTTCTTTGCCTTTGCTGCTTCTACCCTCATTCCCTGGAGGCCCGGGTCTGCTGGACCCATCCATCCCCTTTGGGACTATGGGATCACTGCTTGGGCTCCTGGCACTGCTGCTATGGGGCGCTGTGGCTGAGGGCCCTGCCAAGAAGATGCTGACCCTGGAGGGGGACCTGGTCCTGGGTGGGCTGTTCCCGGTACACCAGAAGGGTGGCCCAGCAGAGGAGTGTGGGCCTGTCAATGAGCATCGAGGCATCCAGCGCCTGGAAGCCATGCTTTTTGCACTGGACCGCATCAACCGTGACCCACGCCTGCTGCCGGGTGTGCGCCTGGGCGCGCACATACTCGACAGCTGCTCCAAGGACACACATGCCCTGGAGCAGGCGCTTGACTTCGTGCGTGCCTCGCTTAGCCGTGGCGCCGATGGCTCACGCCACATCTGCCCCGACGGCTCTTACGC